CCCTTCGAAATAACAAATCTGTAATTACCTTACACACAGCACCTCTCACCTTATCACAGAATGTTAGCCAATTTAAGAAAGCAATCACTTCTCTTCTCCCTGGAAATTCTCCTATATCATCTTCCTCTTCACTATCGCTCCCTTCCAAGGCCTCTCCTCTGGAACACAAAACGTTTTTTGTTGAACACACACCTGATAATGATTGGTAACACAGCCATTGTCTATTTAAAGATGGAAACATTTGCACCACCACTAGAATTTAAAAAGCTATAAGACCAAGAGTTTACACCAAGCAATGTAATGAAAAAGATTAAATATAAAAACATTTGCACACTTAAAACTATAAATATAAATAGTGATAGTATAAAACACAGGTTGCATGGAGACAAACTAAATTTAAATTTGCAGAATGACATGTGTCCTGTGAAAGATTATAATAAATGATAAAATAATAACAGGGACTCTGGAACCAGAATCAGGGATTTATTCCCTTTTGACAAGCTCTAGGTGCACTAAGTTAAGTTAAGTAAGTTTATTTACCACCCTGGCTAACTGCTCAGGCGTGGGCAATCGTGATTACAGAGTGTTACATATATTCACATACATTCGACAGAGTACAGTATTCTGTGATTACAGTAACTATACATGGTAAAATGGGAATATGTCATACAGCATGCAAACGTATATTACGTTTGATCTACCTTTGTTTTTGTGTTAACATAAAGGTGTTCTGTGGTGCGTTTTATGATTATGATAGTTTTACATATCTTCCAATGTATCAGATTCTATAAAATAATCACATAGTTCTTTATACCTCATGTTAGTTGGTCTGAAAGGCTGTATCACATGACACTCCGAGATATAATGCTCAAGCGTTCGCTTATTTTCCTTGTTACACAGTCTACATCTAGATTCATCTGCACTTCTTGCACCTTGCAGTTGCCAGTGCATTCTATAACCTAAACGTATTCTGGCAATAACCACGTCACATTGCCTGGTTTTACTTCGGTGCCACCCATAGGATGGCTTACAATCTCTATACTGATCGTAGTGCCTTATACTACAGCTTTCAGGCCTTTGTGAACTCGTCAGATCTATCAGTTCTTCTTTATGAGAACTTTTTAATATGTGTGCAACCCTTGCAAGAGGCATCCCAAGATCTATATTTACAATATCTTTGCTACAAGCCTCTTTCGCTAAATTGTCTACATAGTCGTGCTTGCGTATACCAACATGAGATGGTATCCATACAAATTGAATGTTAAAATTGCGCTCTCTTGCATAAGTTACGTTACGCTTAATGTAGTTCACAATTCCCTCATCTCCATCTGTTTTGAAGGAATTTAGAGTCCGAAGAGCGCTTTGGGAATCACAAAAACCTACTCCAGAGCCCCTGGTAAACTTGGGGAGCCAACCCGAAGAGTTACTTGCCTCTATCATGCTATTTTTTTCATGGAAAATAAGGTATTATAGTTTATGATCATCTTCAAAGTTTGATAAAAAAGGGCAGTTATAAAAATAAAAAGATTTTGAAGTCAGAACAGACATATCTACAAAGAGTTGACAATTGCTTATTGACTGAAAGTACACATTACATGAAAAGAATAAACTGTATTCATACTGACAAAGGTATAAAAAGGTGTGATTGGGAATTAATATTTTCATAATACAAGAGATGCATTTAACCAGTTTCAAATTTATCTTCATCAGTAAACATGAATGCATTTCTGACAAAGATATATCTAAGACTGCTTAAATACATTTCTTGTACTGTGAAGCTATTCATTCACATTCACACCTTTTATGAAAAGAATAGATTGAAAATTGTATAAAGTACACAAAAATCTGTCCTAAGGAAACTAAGTCTGAGGTCTTTTTCCTTACATTTTTATTTCCTTTATTGAGGTTCTAAATGTACACAGATCTATCAAAAAATCAGGACACATAAATTACACTGAATATGGATAATACTAAATAATACTCTATCCTACATATCAACAAAGTTTCCCATCATACTAACTTGCTTCTCTCTGTTAGTGGAATGTCCTCTATCAAGGCAGGCTCTGTTTCCTTGGGAATAGCATCAGATGCAGTAACCAGTCGTGATGCCAAGTAGTGAGGGAGGAGGGTATGTCTTGCTATTGTTGAACTACTATGTCCTTGTCTAATACTGGCCACTGACACAAGGCAGTCATGAGCCATAGAAGAGATGCGAGAATCCTGGGGGAGCAAAGACAAGATATCAAAATGTGCCTGATGTACTCAAAGTATAACTATCTGTAACCATAAATTTATAATATACATATCATCTAATCATGAAGTTTACTGTACTTACTGCACTATGACACATGTTCAATAGGGCATCCACAAGAGGAAACTTTGGTTGTGATTTCTGCCCAGCTGATGAATTCTGTTCATCAACAGATGTACCATTTGCAACTTCATGTGTAGGGGTTGGAGGGAAGCTGTCATCAGGTGTGAATCCACTGGGGACTCCTCCAGTTATTGCTATTGGCTGAAGGGTAAAATTTAAAATGATGTTACAAAAACACAAAGGAGAGATACTACAGGGAAAAGAAAGAAAGATAAGAGAAAAGAAGAAAATATAACTAACAGTGGACTTTCAAATGAAACCAGAAAAAAAACAATGTACCTGAATATACAAGAGGATGATACTACTATCTTGTCGTATTTTTTCACAAAGAGTAGACAGGAATTCCATCTCTTCGTGCTCATAGGGTGATGCTCTCATTTCACAGCTAGCTTTCACCATCACCTGCAAAAAAATTAAATATCATACAAAATTATTACTCTTAACTTTGAGGAATAAAAACATTAATTGTTCATCATATCCTGTCGGTAGAGCTAGACATTCAAAAAAAAATGAGACAATGAAATTTTCACTGCACTAAAACAGATACAGATAGTCATGGATCAACATTAAATGAAGAGAATAGATTGCATATTATATGACATCTGTTCTCATGTGTTAGCCCTCTAAGATAACTAAGCCTTTTCTCTTTGCATACAACTATATTCACTGTCCTCTATCTACAACAAAATAATTGGATAATTCATCTTATTCAACTATATTTTGTCAGCACACCTGGAGCGGCTTGTGCACAGGACCATGATGCAGATGGGAATGGTGGAGATGGTTCAGCACCCCAACCAAGAAAACATACGCATGCTGGCGGATCCCAAGGGGACGATCAGCCCTGGCATGGGAGGCCAAGGTGGCAAGCACTTTTTCCTGTACCAGATATTCCATGCACGGACTCAATGGCCCACCCACACGTTGCTCCCTCTCCTCAGCCACCAACATCTGCCAGAAGAAAAGTGTTTGGTAAATATCCTTTTGAAATTGTGTTACTTCCTACTTTCAAAATGAGATGCTATGGGAGAGGAGGTAGAAGGAAAAGAGGGAGAGGGAAAGGAGAATAGTAACAAATACAGAAAAATATGAAACTGAGGAACAAATAGAACTAACTGTATATAGATATATGATAAAAATAATTTAAAAAAAATTAAAGTGATGCAATGACAGAGATATATGTGGATAAAATAAGATAAAAGATTAATGAAAGAGAAAGATGACAAACAAATAATGAGAAGAAATATAGCCAACACAAGAAAAAAGAAAAATGCCCTGAGATACTCAAGCAGTACAAAAAGTGAAAGGCAAAATCTATTTCTCCATCTTGAGTATGTTCTGTGAAGTTCCCCCCTTCAGCCAGAATCAATACGTCTTTTGTACCTTGAGCATCTGTGTCAAGTGTCTTGGGACATGTGTCTCCTCGATGGCTGGTGTCTGCCCCTCGTTGTGCTGACATCGCTGGCATATGATTGACAACTGCGTCCAGTGGTAGCGTAGATCTTCAACACGTGGACATGGTGGAGCAACCTCAGGATATATGTCATGTATATCAGCATACAAATTCAATAATTAATCTTATTACATCATATCAAGAAATATTTCAATCTCTAATTCTAGAAAAAAAAATTCTTTTTAATTAATTCATTTCATTCTAATACAAAAATAAACATTATTGTACTCCAAATTCATACCACATCAGCTGCAGCCTGAAGTGCGTCTGATATCCTTGAAAACATGACTGGGTCGTGCTTCCTCTTCCGGCTGGTGCGACACAGCGTCTCATTCAACACGAACCCAAATATCTCAACACACGACATGAGGCCTCTCCACTCGAGCCATGTTGGCTCTACGCAAACTGAGAGGGTCAGATAAGAATTCCATCAGTATAGTATAGGGTGTTGGTGTAGGTGTGGGTTTGGGTGTTGGTGTAGGTGTGGGTTTGGGTGTAGGTATGGGTGTGGATGTGGGTGTGAATATGGTGTGGAGTGTGGGTGTGGGAGTGGGAGTGGGAGTGGGAGTGGGAGTGGGAGTGGGAGTGGAGTGGGAGTGGGAGTGGGAGTGGGAGTGGGAGTGGGAGTGGGAGTGGGAGTGGGAGTGGGAGTGGGAGGGAGTGGAGTGGAGTGGGAGTGGGAGTGGAGTGGATGTACGTGTGGATGTACATGTGGATGTACTTCTGGATATACGTGTGGATGTACGTGTAGATGTAGGTGTGGATGTAGGTGTGGATGTACGTGTGGATGTATGAGTGGATGTAAGTGTGGATGTAGGTGTGGATGTAGGTGTGGGTGTAAGTGTGGGTTTAAGTGTAGGTTTAAGTGTGGGTATAAGTGTGAATGAGTGTAAGTGTGCGAGTATGAGAGTGAGTATGGGTGTAGGAGGGAATAGTTGTGTGTGTGGGTGTGAATGGTTGTGAGTGTGGGTATGGGCATAGGTTTGAGTGTGGATATGAGTATGGATGTAAGTGTGAGTGTAGATGTAAGTGTGGGTGTGAGTGTAGATGTAGGTGTGGGTGTGAGTGTAAGTGTGTGTGTGAGGGTGTAGGTATAGGTGTATATGTGGGTATGAGTGTGACTATGGATGAGAGTGTGCAGGTGCACTAGGACATGTGTCTAAATCCAAATATATGCATCAGTCCTTGATTATGATAAGTCAATATAAGCACATACTTAGAAGACTTAAATCTACAACTACTCTGTAGGTCACTACAGAGTATTGGTACTATATGATAGATACAAACCTGTAATTTAAGAAATTCAGGAATTATGGAAAGGACTTAACAGCATATCTAGAAAGCAGCAAACTCTAATTGTGTTTTTTTTATTACACCTAATAAACCAGCTTTTGGTCTATTACCTTACACTTGATATACTACATATCAAGGAGGTACCAATGAAAGAGCCAACATGGCATTATCATCTGACAGTTCATAGGGTATAAGCAAACTATAAATCAGCTCTAGTTTGTATCATGATTTCTGTCAAAATCAATTTTGCTGGCATAACATGCCAACACCCACAAGCCTGCTACTGGCCTTGCACTAATCAGCATAGCCTCTTAGTCATCAGTCCATTTATATTCTAGCATGATAAAACTCGTAACTCCCCGCCCGTGCTAAATCATTATCATATAATATCCTGTCTAAGCTCAATTTTGCACCATTATCATGTTGGTCTCCAGATTCGGTTTACAAGCCACTGTAAGCTTTCATTGGGTTTCAAGAGATAAACAACCAATATAAATGCAATTTTACCAAAAATAAATTCTAAAAGAGATAATAAATCATATTAACTTTCCTCCAGTCACTAGCCTGTTAACACATACAAAGACTCAATATTGAGTTTAACATACTACAAAACATAAAATCAATAAATTATAATAAGTAATGATGAAAAACAAATTGTTACTCTGGACAGTCTAATTCTCATTTTGGTTTTTCTTTCTCAATATTCAAACTTGATTTCTTTTTCTATTTGAAGAAATCTTATATGATATCTCAACATCAAACTACTGTCTACTGAAGCCAGACTACATTATTGATTTTTCCTGCTGACAATTGTAATTCCTACAGAAAAGACCTTATCAGTAGCAGCTTAGACTTTTAATGTGTGACTTTTTTTCTTATGATTAAAAGCCTTCTTATCACTAGGAGTTTTTACCTGCTTGTCTTTTTTTGTATAAATGACTTTAATATACTTTTCTTTGTCACTTGTTTCCCTTTATCATCTTATGGGTATTTCTAAAGGAGACAATGCACATATAACTTATTCAAAAAATAAACTTATATCATGAAAAAGCATGACTAGATTTTCTCTCTCTTCTATATCCAATAACTTCATAATAAGCCCTATCACACTATCACACTTTCCGTCAATTTTTGCATTTCTGAATGTAAAATCCGTATGAAAATCGACTGACCCCATCACATTACCAAGGCAGCAAACATTGCCCATGTAAACAAACATGGCACTATCAGAGTGAGGTCCCAGGAATCACATGAACATTCTCATACATATTACGTTATCTTAAAGAAATTCAATGATGTATATTGTATATACGAATATTCTAAAATATTAGCTAATGCTTACATTCACTCATTCTATCTAATTTATATATAAAAACATTCTAGATACATAGATTCTTTCATAGCACGAGATCAAGATAGGAATTAGTCAGACGGAAATGGTCATAATCGTCTTCGTCTGGCAGGTGTTCTATTTGCAAACGATACTTGCAGAGAGCCTCAAATTTAGACAGAAACAAAATTTGATGGAAAATGTGCTACTATAATAGATCCTTTAGTTCAATTGGAGATGGAAATGTCATGGAAAAAAAGCACCTTAGATTTCTGCACGTTATCATTTTTATATAGATCATTGTTTAGTTTCTACATGCCAGCTGATTGAAGCTACACCTATGCCAAATAATTTTCCAGTGTGCATGTAATACTTTTTATGATCTTGAGAAACTACATCACACAATGTTACAATTCCTTTTTAAATATACAATATCAGCAAGGAAAAAATACAGATACACAGAAGCATATAAACAAGGAAAAACAATCTTGATTCTAAAACTGCAACCTCACAAAACAGCAATGTAATGCTGTAAGATCATCTTTCCTCTATATTCTTTCCTGAACCGGAACTACATTCAACCTTGAGGAAAATTACCAATAAAACTTGCAACAAAACCAAGGACACGATAACAACAACATACACAAGACACACATTGTCAAGTCCTAACAAATTTGTTTCCATAACACACATAAACAAGACAAACCAAAAATATATGATTTGTTCCCCTAATTTTCCTGCAACAATAACACGCGATACATAGAATGCTATGTCAAAATAAGCATGGAATTATACCTGATCATACATGACACGTCTCAAAAACGCAAAGAGTACACTGCAGTTACAACATATAAGTTGAAAATGTCACAATATAATAAGATATGATAATAAGATAAATAATAAGTGAGAGATGTCACAATCAGCTGAAGGATGTACTCTCAACACCTGTTATACTCCTGTAATTCCCACCACTCCTACGCCCATAACACACACTTACATTACTAGAGTCTCTTCCGGGTAACGCCAGTGGTCTCGAAATAGCTTACCAACAGGAACAGCTGCTTCTGCACGCTAATTATGAGGTCAAATGCGCCGTAATTGGAGGAATAAATTCTGAAAAGTTTGTTCTATTTCGTCTGCTACGTGGACAGCGTTCAAGTACCTAAATCTTCAAAATAGTGTGTACAAGACCGTCACCAGAAAAGTTTTAAATGTATTTGATATGGATAAAAATAAATTTATCAAGCTTCGTAAAAAGACAAAGGTTGTAAATTTTCAAGAGGATGAGTAGAAACGCGTATTTGAGCGGGGTACTCGAGCGCCTTGTTGTGAAGAGGCTCAACTACTAAACCTACAATCAAAAATCAACAACAGTCACCTCCCAGACGCTAAAATCAACCCCATAAACGCCAACTTTAAGTCAAACCACACCCCGCTGTCATCCTTAGACCTTAAAATCAGAATCTCTCCCTCCAAAACCCGAAGAGCGACGTCTCACCGGCGGGGTAGTCGAGCGTTCGCTGTACGGGCGGCATGGCGGGGTCAGCTTCAATTTCCTCGTCGAGCGTCTCCAAAAAATATGTCTCCAGGAAGGTCAAGACAGTGCGATGGAAACCCCCCAGCACTTCGGATTTCGGCGACACCAACACCTTCGTCACTGGCAGCTGGGATGATTGCGTAAGAGTAGTTTACCGGGAGGTTGTGCTGCTCGCCCGAATGTCACTGGGATTTGTTTTGGATTTGTATCTTTATCTTTATTTCCTGTCACTTTGTGTGTATTTCTCGTTTGGTCCGGATACTAAGAGGATGGATGGGGCTCTAGTGTGAAAGTGGCTTTGAAAGTTGATTATGCGGTAAAATGTGTTAAAGCCTTGTCTTCAAGGATCGCAAAAGTTTCGAATCGAGAAAACGTCGATTCCAGGAACTCCCAGAGAACACCTCTGCTTGCCACCTCGCACTTGCCTTGGCGTGTATCTTTTGCCCCAGATCCGAGATGATTATTTATGCTGTGTTCGGAACTCCTCGTATTGCCTGTCCAGACAACTTGTCAGGACCAGCAAGACAATGAGGCCACGTTCCGAACCTCCAAGGCCTTCACTCCCCAGAATGCAACCAGCTGGAAAGTTAACATTCGGCATAAGTTGAAGACACCGATGCACATAGATAGAGGGAAATGGACACCGCCATCTTATAGAGCGGAGGAAATAGAGTGGGTTAGAACATAGTTTAAGCTGCAGTGGCCTCATATTTACCCCAAAATAATGAAAATATTACACACTCACCTTTCAGTTTCTGTCCATCAGCTTGTTTACCTTGGTAAGAAAAACAACACTGACCCATGAACTCCTTACTGCAATACCCTAAGTAGTACCAGTGTTACTACGCGCATGTCAAAACAATATTTGGGAATCACTCGCCCTATCATTTGCATATATTATTTTTTGTCTAAAGGAAGGTTGGCTGGAATTTTTCCTGTACCCTTATCAGTGTATACTGTTACACATATATCCTCGTAAAGTCTTTTATTGATGTTATTATACTTCATTTATGAGTTTGAAGATTGATTTATAGCCATATTTAGAATCGTGCGCATTGTCCATTTCACACTTCCTTTCGCCTGCCAACAGCTTGCATCAGCCCGTAGATTTTCAACGATGGCAAGTTCCTTGTTGCACACCTGAGTGAGTTACAGAAGTCAACGATCAAAATAATCATGTAACATCGATATGGAACAAGGAATTTACTAATAGTTTAAAGGAGTTTCAAGTATTTTGTTATCTGAAAAGTTTCTGGATATGCACTCATGAAGTGCACACTTGGTAACCATTGCACACTGCACACTTCAAATTTTCTTTGTGCGCCGTGGATATAGTTCCGGCACCAGAATTTATAACAGTTTGGCTATTCGTCCGGCATACATGCGCAGTAACTATTTGCGCGCAAACACACACTCGCGCATTAGCCTTGCATACAAACTTTGGTGCTGTTTTTGTGTTGTTCATTGTTCGTGGCTAAGGGTCGATCATCGATTATGGATTTCTTCAAAGTTGGAACAGAATTTGCCAGTTTTGCTGATGTGAAGGAAAACTTGACCAAATTTCAAAGCACTTTCACACAGTTTTATGTCAAAGATTCAAGGACTGTTGCTGCAGCTTTGAAGCATACACCGGATAAGAAAGTATAGCCAGAGTTGAAGTACTCCTACTTAGTGTTTGCCTACATCGGGAAATAAGGCAATTGGGAGGGTGTCTGGGGGCGAAGCCCCGGTAAGGAAATACGGCAATTGGGAGTGGGTCCGGGGGCATAGCCCCCGGGTTAGGAGGTATTTTTGGTTCATACGGAGATCCTACTGGTAGGTCATGTGTTTAAGATGCGGTTCACTCGCTCATTCGTTCGCGCAACACCGTGTCGAATCATCCGTGGCCAAATCTTCTCTTGGTGCATGGTATGAACGAAATCACCCCCCCCCCCCCCCCCCGAACACCTGATTGGATCCCCCAACATTGTTGGCGGGAGTCGGGGACTTCGTCTCTGACGGGTGCGGCTCTATCATTTATAGGCAAAATGAAAATCACAGAAATGTCAAACTGTAGCAAACTTAGCATGTATGTCCACTCGGTCCTAAGAATAATTCAAAATTTTGATGATGTGATGGAAAAATAGGTCTTCAGTGCAGGCTTCCGACAAAAAACGGCAGAAGAATATCCCAGCAGTCTCGAGACGCATGAAATCAAGACAGAATTAATGACAGTGCGCAAGCACGAGTGTATGCTGGACGAATAGCCAAAATGTTATAAAATCCGGTGCCAGAACAGTATCCACGACGTTCTTTGTGCACACCCAAGATCTTGTTGAAAAGTGCCGTACTTTCCATACTTGCCCAGTAGCATTGCATAACAGATTGTGATGATTTTGATATTTATAGATTCTTCTATCTCGTAGTCTGGCACATTTGTTTGTTTCAACCAGTTACCATAAACTATCTAGTATCCAAATATGATAGAAAATATTGCATGGAATGTCTCCATTAGCAACAGTCTTAGGCCTGATAGCAGAGGAGGGCATTAAAGATATCAGGAAATTTGAAGGGTAAGATATGAATAATATACCCAGAATCAGTCACTACATTGTTTAACCTTTCCTACCTTCTATGTATTCCCAAGACGGGGGACCAGGGGTGTACGGTAATCAAATGAATTGTTAAGATCGAGTACCATTTCTACATTGACGATCTTGATTTGATAGTCCCAATAGCAGGGGAGAGCATGAAGTATATCAGGGAAATTAAGGTATAAAACAGGCTTAAGTAAGAAGAATTGAGAACAAACATGCGTAAGACCTGTGCAAAAAACACTTAAAATCGGCCAGTGAAACTCTACAGACATACCCGCCATCTCTGAAATTCAAAACTCTATAGGAACCCAACCCACCTTTCAGCTAAATCTATGTTAATTCACACGTCTCAAACCCCCCCAGAAAAACATACTGACCAATAAACCAGCCTAATCTAACAATTTAAGTTGCCATGACTAGGAGGGGAGATATGACGGGGGGGCTCGGCACCCCAACTACCCCGAGGAAACATTATCTTTACCTCAGTACGTACGGCAGGTTAGAGCTGCATTCACACCTTAAAATAATAAACCAAATTCCTTTAAATCTGAAAACGTCAAACTTTCGTTCCCTTCTTTCTACCATTGGGATTTCTTCGGTTTTAATCCTTTTCAGGATTTGGGTACTTGATGGGCTCAGGTATTACTCTGGGATGTGTTACGAATATATATTTCTTCTTTGTTGCTGTATAGTCTTCAGAATAACTCAGAATCAATACAACACAGGAAATGCAACATTTCTCACTGGCGTTCTGCCACAAAATGACCAGATCCGAACTGTCAAACCTCATAGCTGGCGACAAAGTGTGAAACATATGATGTGCAGATAAGTCTAAAGAAGTGTATAGGTAAAACTTAAACATGTAAAAGAAGTACAGTTACATCAATGAAAGATTAACCCACTTACAATGGGTGTCGCACATATGAGACACCTGGAAAAGTAAACATTGCTGGTCGTCCCGCTGGTGCAATTCCAAATCCAAGTTCGCGCTGTGATTTTGTCGCCTGTGGCAGCCAGCGTGCAGGCGAGCCACCCAGAAAATATTATTTTTGGCTTATAAATGTACCGTCACTAGTGGGTTAAGGAGGCCATCGCACTGAATTTTCTACAAATATTTTTTTAAATACTTGGAAAATTGAATACCTCGCTTCCCCTCCAATTGCTATTATAGCGTGTTCATACAAATATACTCTTTTGGTATTCACTGACAAAAGCTGGCAACTCTGCATACTGTATCAGCAGGAAGCCACAACTAGGAGACAATGCTAGCAGTCACCACCAGAGAGTCAAGAGTAAGAGGTTGCACATCGCCTGCCTCCTCAACACCCTCACATAGACGTTCTCCTGATACACCCTCATAGCACACTAATGATAGATGTTATGCCTGTAACTGATAAACCTTACGATGAGAAATACATGTCACAGTCACAGCTGCAGCAGTTGTTTATTTGTATGAAATGCCTCACAAGGTACTGTAAAAGCACTGTAAATCCTGCGATGACAAGGCTGCCCTTCGACAACCATGTACAGTTAGTGCAATTAATACTTTGTAAAAAGGGAGGGACCAGGTACCAGCTACACTTCAGAATACCATGTGAATGCCATGTAGTGCATCAAGATTGGCATAGGGATCACAATTCTTAAAATAATAATAATAATGAAATAAAAAGAAAAATGATAATAATGATAAAAATTATGCAGAGAAAAGTATCCTCAACTTCAAAGCTTGATATCTTTCAATATCAGCATCACCAAAAACTCTTCAAGTTTAGAACAATTGTACCCTAAACCATTCTCCCTCTACACTGCTGTTCCCCCCTGTCAAATCCCTTTTCCATTCTAAATCCAGATCTCTACCACTTCTCCTATACTTACCTTTCCTTCCCCTCACTTTCCAAGTTACACCAGACAGCCTAAATGTTTTACTCCATCTTTGCTTTCCACACCCTCTCCTACACCCTCCTTTTCCTCTGCTCCTTGAACATCTATCCCATCTTCTCCTCCTCAGAAGAGATTCTTTGTTTCTGAGACCTCCCTACCCAAATCCCCTCCCAAAACTCTTGAAGACATCCAAAAATCCCTAGACATGACCCAAGAAAATGTTCCACTCCCTCATCCATCCAAAAATCCCTCTATTCCTAGTCCCTCTATATTCAAAGTATTTGCCAATATCCATCCTCCTCCCCCACAAGTTCCCCTTACCCCTGTTCCTCCAACTCTTTCCCAACAAACCCCATCCCCTCCTCCTGCATGTACACTATTCCCTTCTCTCACAACAGTGTCCTCCGGATTCCTCCCCTCCTGACACTCTTCCTGATACTTCATCTCCTTCTCCAATCCCATCATCTCATCCCCTAGACTCTTCTCCTGCTACTTCTCCAACAGCCATCTCTACCCATATTACCCATTGATTATTTCATAACAGCTCTTTTATCACTATTAACGATTATCTTTCAACAAATCCATATTTGACCAGCAGTAAATGCAGAAGAGCTTTTCATCAAAGATAATTCCACATGAATGTGTTTATGGATAAAAGAGTGTGTCATGTGCCTGTGCTTGAGTGTGTTCTATGCACTCTTGTGGGTATTGTTTCAGTGGCATGTGTAGGTTTATAATTTTTATTTGAAACCAGTTATAGCATCCTCTTGATGAAACAGTCTTGAATAGAGTGAGAGAAATGTATGATGAATATTAATTAAAAGAAATAACATCAGAAAGCATTAATTCTCTTAGTTTTGTGAGGTTGGACATTCTCCTTCATGCTTTTGTTGTTGTTGTCCTGGTAAAAACATCTTAAGCCTTCCCTGGAATGATGTTATAAGGTCCTTTTTTTAATCCTGTAAGCTGGCCTATGTAATTGCTAATTTGCATAATTCACTTGCAGGAAAATGTTGTAGCTGTATGGCATGTACCAGGATGTGAAGAGGACCCAACTCTCCTACACCAGCTGTCACACCCTGCAAATGTCAATGATATTCAGGTATGCATTACTTTACTGTTGTCCTAAACTTGAACCGTTTTTGGTGATATTGATATTGAAAGATTTTCTTCATTTTCTTTTCTCTTCTCTTTTCTTTTCTTTCTTTCTTTCTTAAGGGTACAAACTATTTTCCATCTACAGTATGTCACAAGAGAAGCATTTGCGACTGCAGGAGGTAATGGGAGTGTTAAGCTATTTCAACATAGCAACAATGACCAGTTAGAAAGTAAAGCAACTTGGGATCGCATACACACTGTTCTAGGAGGTGAGGTGCATATATTAGACATATAAGTCTTATTAATATACTGTTAACATCTTTTTGAAGGCTTTCAGTCCACAAAATATATATAGAAATGTAGAAATTTTTATAAATATCAAGTGATAAATAAAGAAATAGCTGTAAAATGTAATACTGTCTAGATATTTATTTTTAGGTGCTTTTATTTTATGGGTTTTTAATATTGGCACAAATGTAAATTAAATTTATTTTTTATTTGCTCTTAAGAAAGAAAGGTAAACAAAAAGTAAACAAAAAACATTTGCATTTTAATCACTTTTATGCTGTGCAGTAAGACATATTGAGAACTACATTTTTATTTCCGTAATTCACCTTATTTAAATAAAAAATATTCCTATAATTGTTTTGAGATCCTCAGAGACATAAGATAGCGATTGCACATCCTCACATCTGTCACATGAGCTGTAAAGTTATCATGGATAGGATGGAATGCCAATCATCATGATTATTTACAAAAAAAAAAAAAAAAAAAAAAAAAATCTGTTTTGAGTATATTCTAAAAAATGTTTTTTATTCCAGGCTCAGTTCCATGTACAGCATTGGCCACGAATGGTGACCAGATAGCATCCTTGGTGAAAAATAGCTTGTTGTGAGAAATCATTCTCCATTTTAATATTCCCCAACAAGTCTCCATTCCAGGGTAACATTGAGTTAATGGTGACCAGATAGCATCTGTCGGTGAAGATATTTAGTAATTTAAATCCCAGTCAAGATCAACTGTCAGAAACATGGTAGTTTGTAAGTATTTGTGAGACTTGACCTTGTATATGGCATATTGTTTAGTTCTTTGGATTAGAATTTTGAAAGGCAGTCATGCAGGTGGACATTTATGAAGAATGTGTGTGCTATATTAACCCATTAATGACGGGTGTCCCTTATATGAGACACCCAGAAAAATAAAAACTCTGCCGGGTTGTGTGCCCCAGTGTGACGTTGGATCAGGGCTCATGCTCCAAATATGTCAAATTCGGGGGCCAGCCCGCGCGCTGATTTCAGCTTCAAAATAATTCCTATTAGTTTTGTAATTTTGATGAATAGGCTAGCACACAAACTCACTCTTCCTCTCCCCCTCTCCCTTTCCCATTCTCTCCCCCTCTCCCTTTCCATTCTTTCCCCTCTCCCTTTCCCATTCTCTCCCCCTCTCCCTTTCCCATTC